CCTCTCCAGTAGAAAATAAGAGGAGAGACAGTTAACGAGCTGATGTCAAAGCTGCCACCCACTCTAACAGCATCAACATGGTGAGCTGAGGTCAAACTCGTGCATCCGGTGACACAAGGAGGACCCAGCAACCCAGTGGTGCTCAATCTGCGAGCTTGTAAAGATGTATGCCTAAAATCTGCTCCTACAGCTTCTGATGAAATTGGTCAGTTTGATGAACTTCCGGCCAAGATGGAGGCATAGGTAGATACACTTTGGCTCCTTGTACAACCAAAATAAGGACAACAATAAATTTAAAAATAAAAATAACCGGAAATGCCAGAAAATTGAACTGCATGAAAGTCGGACAACTAGGAAGTTAAAGAAGAAATATTCATCCAGACCAGTAGGAGGGGCAGAGACAGGCAGCCAGGGCAGAGAGGACTCAGGGCAACGCAGCAGCTGGAGGACCCTGTGAGGCAGAGGCTGGTGGAGCTGGTGGTCCCACATTTGTGCGCAGATAAACTGGGAGGAACAACTGGGGAGCAAGACAGCCCACTCAACCCACAGTTCCAGAGCAGGGAAATAAAGCCTCAAACCTTCTGACTGAAAAAAACAGTGGGGGTTGAGCTGGTAGGAGAAACTCCCAGCATCACAGGAGAGTTCATTGTAGACACTCACAGGGTCCTAGAATGTACACCAAACTGCTCACCTGGAAATTAGCACCAGAAGGGCCTAATTTGCTTGTGGGTAGTGGGAGAAGTGACTGAAAGCCAGCAGAGAGCTGAGCAAGCAGCATTGTTCCCTCTTGGACCCCTCCCCCACATTCAATGCCACAATGAATATCTAAGGCTCCACCCCTTACTATGTAACAGGCACCCTGAGACAAAAAAATATGGCCCAAATGAAAGAACAGATCAAAGCTTCAGAAAAAATACAACTAAGTGACAAAGAGATAGCCAACTAACAGATGCAGAGTTCAAAATACTGGTAATCAGGATGCTCACAGAAATAGTTGAGTATGGTTGCAATGTAGAGGAAAAAAAATGAAGGCTATGAAAAGCGAGATAAAGAAAAATGCACAGGACCAGCAGTGAAGGGAAGGAAACCAGGACTTAAAACATGGTTTGAAGCAGAATGAAGAAATAAACATTTAACCAGAACAGAATGAACAAACAAGAATTCAAAAACACAAGGAGAGGCTTAGGAACTCCTGGGAAAACTTTAAACATTCCAACATCCCAATCATAGGGGTGCCAGAAGAAGAATATGAAGAGCAAGAAATGGAAAACTTATTTGAAAAAATAATGAAGGGAAACTTCCCTAATCTGGCCAAGGAAATAGATTTCTAGGAAGTCCAGGAAGCTCAGAGAGTCCCAAAGAAGTTGGACCCAAGGAAGCACACACCAAAGTCCATCATCATTACATTATCCAAGATTCAAGACAAGGAGAGAACCTTAAAAGCAGCTAGAGAAAAGGAGACAGTTACCTACAAAGGAATTCCCATAGGACTATTAACTGATTTCTCAAAAGAAACCTTGCAGGCAAGAAGGGGCTGGAAAGAAGTATTTGAAGTCAAGAAAGGCAAGGACCTACATCCAAGATTACTCTATCCAGCCTGGCTGGTGTAGCTCAGTGGATTGAGCGCGGGGCTGAGAACCAAAGGATTGCGGTTCGGTTCCCAGTTAGGGCACATGCCTGGGTTGCAGGCCAGTTCCCAGCAGGGGACACATGAGAGGCAACCATACACTGATATGTGACACTGATGTGACACTGATATTTGTCTCCCTCTCTCCTTCCCATCCCCTCTAAAGATAAATAAATAAAGTCTCAAAAAAAAAAAAAGATTACTCCATTCAGCAAAGCTATCATTTAGAATGGAAGGGTAGATAAAGTGCTTCCCAGAAAAGGGTCAACTGAAAGGAGTTCATCATCACCAAGCTCTTATATGAAACGTTAAAGGGACTTATCTAAGAAAAAGAAGATAAAAAATACAAACAATAAAATGATAACAAAATCACAACTGTCAACAACCCAACCTAAAACAAAAAACAAAAACAAAAGCAAATATCTAGAACAGGAACAGATTCACAGAAATAAAGATCACATGAAGAGTTAACAGTGGGGAGCAGGAGGGGGGAGAATAGGAGGAAAGGTACAGGGAATAAGAAGCATAAATGGTAAGTACAAAATAGACAGGAAGAGGTTAAGAGTAGTATGGGTAATGGAGAAGCCAAAGAAGTTATATGTATGACCTATGGACATAAGCTAAGGTAGGGGAATGATGGTGGGGGCGCGGGTAGAGGGCAGAGGGGAATAAAAGGTAGAAAAAAATGGGACAACTGTACTAGCATAATCAATAAAATATATTTAAAAAATAATTACTAAAAAAACTGGTCAGGATGAAGGTCTAGGCTTTAGTTGTTTTTAAAGCTTTCCATGTGAAACAAATGTCCATTCTAAGAACCACTACCCCAGCTGGGAAGGACACAGCTGAGTTTTCCTGAAGAATCTTTCATTTATTCAACTGGCAAACACATACTGATCCCTTTGATGAGCCAAGCACAAGAGTTTAACAGAGGAGACTACAGGGGAAAGGACAGTATTAATACCACTGGAAGGTCTTCAGGTAGAGCCTATCAGTGAAGAGGGTGCTCCGGACCAAGGCAATAGCTTCTGCAAAGCCCCAGTGGAGAAAATACATAGAGCGTTCCAGACACCCCAAAGAATTCTGGCTGTTAGTGCCAGGCCAAAAGGTGAGGCTGGAGATGCAGAGATCAATTCCTCATAAGAAATGTAGAGATATTTGGGTTTTTTGTGGGGAGGTGGAATGATCAGAGCGGTCTTTCAGAAAGATTATTTTGGCTACTGTGTTCAGATTAGATTAGAGAGAAGCAAGACTGGACACACAGAAACCGGTTCCATGATGGTTACCGCAACCGAGGCAAGATTTAACAAGGGGCAGACCCGAGAGGTATTAGCGGAAGAAGAGTGTGGTAACTGAGGGTGTGTGGGGGGCCGAGATGGGAGGTCAGAGAGGAAGTCCAAGCCTGCGGCTTGAGGGCTCAGAGGAAATGGGGTAATGCCAGGCCCTGAGCAAAGGAAATGGGGAAGATGGGGAGTGTGTTATGTGGTAGAATCAGAGGCCTTTGGGGACAAGCTTGCTCAGGCTTCATCTGAGGACCACAACTTGGACAAACCTAAGGAAAATCCTGCAAATCCTTAGTTTTTCTATACTTACAGGGTGCACGGCACTAGCACTCATTGAAATACCTGATTAATTTGAAATCTCAAGGACTCGTACCAGATGGGTAAAGGGTCATTTTAACTAAAGGAAAGGGGCACGGCCTGGGGTTGGAATAGGAGGTGGGCAGGGCCAGGCGCACAGAGCTCGTCTTTTGTTCCCTTCTCAACCCTGGCGTGTGTTCCAGCTCCTTTGCTTTTATCAGGGGACAGCTAGGATCAAATGCCTGAAAAGGCAACACAGAGTGGCTTGGGGCCCTCCTCTGCAGAGCACCTGATCAAGTAATAGCAGCAGGTGAACGTGTTTTGTTTGAGGTGGACAGGTAAGCAGCGTTGTAAGCAGCTCCATTTATTTGAGTAAATAGCTTGTCAAGAAATCATTGGTAAACATTACAAAATTAAATACATTTTCCAAAGCTTGCCAGTATACATAAAATTCACAAACATAGTTCTTTTAAAAAATAAAATATGTTCGGAGCACCCTTTGATAGACAACACCTGACCCCTGTGCTTGGACAGGGCCCCATAGAGACAGCTCATCGCAGGTGGGGCTTCTGTGGGGAGGCAGCAGGGCCTCCTGCAGGGGAAGGAGAGCTTCTAATCTGACCTTTGACCCCACCCACGTCCAGCTGAAGGTTGAGCCTCCCCCAAGGAGCTAGTGTGTCACTGAGAGGGGCAGGGCAGGCACCCCAGGCTTAGCTCCAAGCAAGGAGACCGAGGTGCAAAATTAGGGCCACGAGCCAGTGTCCTTACCATATGCTGCTGGAAATGCAGTCTCCACCACGCTTCCCAGCCGGCACATGCTCCTCTACCAGCTCTCCTGAGAGATGAAGCTTTCCCACCTTTGCACCGGCTCACCGCTCCATTCGCCCCCTTGGGTCAGGTGCTGCCCAGGCACAGAAGTGACCAGAACCTACTTCTAAGAAGGAAGATGCATAATCTGCTGACTCCCTTAGGACCTGCTTTCATGGACAGAGGACAATGCACAGTACTTGGTGGAAAGCAGAGAATTAATTGCTACACAGTGCTTCCATTTTCCATTGCGAAACACTGCTCAGATAGTGTGGGCCCTTCTCTAGAAATCCCAGTCGTTCTTCAAATGAAGGGTTCCTAAAACTTGAAAAACACCACAAACGAGGCAATAAGTACATCACCTGGCAAAGCATCCCAATTAATGCAATAATATAAAGTCCATAAATGAAGCCCTTGACCAACTGAACATTTCTGTAGTGCAGCTCACTCAAATAACGGATACACTGAATTCTCTCACTTTGGTGCATAAAGTGGAAGTCGGAGGTCAACAACACTCGCATGAAGACTACCTAGTCGCCTCTTCACAATATGTGTGCTGTGACGTCCCGCTCAAGGACAACCACAAGTTCATTTTATCAGTGTGAAATAAAACTCACATCTACATTGGAAAACTCACATCTGTTGTGTGTGGATATATATTAACGTATATACAAGTATGAGAAATTCAACAGCTGAGTCAAATGAACAACTGAAGATAAAAGGATTAGGAAACTAGTTGTAAAAAAACCATCAACCCTGTATAGTTAGGTCCTAAACATCGGACTTCTTGAAGAAAATACTGCCTGGCCCAGTCCGTCCTTGGATGTCTGTGTGGTTTGATAACCGCTCATTGGGCTGAAACCAGAGTCGTGATATCTTTGCTATTAAAATAGTACACTAATAAAACCTTTAAAAACAAAAACGCTCTTGAATAAGTGTCTAATAGATATGCATCCCCCCCACACACACACAAAAAAAGTTCCTCGTAAGGACGACTATTCTTTAATATAAGTCCTCGTGAAGTCCAAAGTCCAGGACCTGGTCTTGGTCTCCAGGCAAGTTGTGCCCTGTGCCAGAATCACACAGACTTCTTCTGTGGGGGACTCAGTTTCCTCATGCCTCTGATCCGAGACAGCAGCTCCTTGATAAATTCCTAAAAGAGACCAGAAGAAATGAATATGAGGGGGTCCCTCCATCACGATCTGGGGTTCAAATATGCTTGAAGTAACTGATGCCAAGTGAAGTAACCTCAGTTGATGAGTTTGTAAGGATGTATTAACCCCAACTGGTACAATATGGGAAATTTTTAGACAAAGAAGAGTGCCTAAATTTCATACCACAGCGCCTTCTAACTGCTATACAAATGCTGCTGGATGTTTGATGGGTTTATGTGGAAAATCCTGTAAGTCAAAAGTGCACCGAATACACCTAACCTACAGAAGATCGTAGCTTGGCCTGGCCTACCTTACACGTGCTCAGAACACTGACATTGGCTACAGCTGGACAAAGCTGTCTTCCTGCCGCTTGCCCAGCACCATGAGAGAGTATAGTACAGCATGTCGCTAGTCAGGAGAATATCAAAATTCGAAGTAGGGTTTCTACTAAGTAAATATCACTTTCGCACCATCGTAAAGTAAAAAATCGTTAAGTCGGACTTTCATGAGTCAGGGGTGGTATGTACTCTTTAGAGAGAAAAGCAGGCTGCCTTCATTCACTGACATTGTCTACTTGGCCCCTGCAGGCAGGCACATGTGGTTTAGATCAATGCTTCCAATCCTTTAATACACCTTTAATCCGAGCATACAAATCACCCAGGAAACATGTCAGCTCTGATTTAGTAGGTCTCAGCTGGGGCCTGCAATTCTGCTTTTCCAGCCAGCTGCCAGGTGATGCAGTGTTAGTCTCCACACCACACCTGGAAAGCAAGGCTAGACCAGTGGTTCCTGAACTGGAGTGTGCACCAGAATCACCAGGGGGCCTTATGAGAGCACAGAAGGCGAGGCCACCCCTGCAGTGTCCGATTCAGTAGGTCGCTGGTGGGGGGCCTGAGAACTGGCAAATCTCAGAAGCTCCCGGGCTATGCCTGTGTTGTTGGTCCTGGGATCTTACTGAGAACCACTGGTCTAGACCATCGCAAGAGTCTGATTTTATTTTTACTGCAAATCATAGTTTTAAAAAATACATACGTTTAACATTTACAGTCTGGTATATTAAACACACACCGGAAATAAAACTTTTAGGAACAAACACTATACACAATGCACTCCATATTTTCTATATATTCTAGTTTCACTGACCAGGTAATTAATGCTTGGGGCAAACCTGCTAAAACGATTCTCTGATGCATGGATGAGAACCCAAAGACTGAAGGACTGAAGGACAAGCTAGAAAGGTGTTTGGTTCATACCATCATCACATTTTACAATATTTGGTATCAGCTGACAGAAAAATTTAATAAATTAGCAATGAAACACATTTTACAATGCCTGTGGTCTCTTTAAGGGCAATTTCAGCAGGTGAAGAACGTGGAAGAGAAAAAAATGCGCCCATAGGTTGCATTACTTGCAATGAAATAAAACCTATAGTTGGAGCTCACATACACACAAATATTTGGCTGCTAAAATAAGTCACATTTCTTAGACAAGAATTACTTTGTCTTCCTATTTAGTGTTTGTTGAAGATGAAGCTGACAGCCAATCAGACTTTCTGATGGGCGAGTGACAGCTGGTGAGTGGCAGAAATGAGCAAAAGTACTCAGGGACCCTCCTCCCCATCACAATGGCCCCTGTAATAACACAGCCCTCAGATGACCTCCTGGACCAGTCGCAGCCCTGGCCACAGGCTCCCCCCACCCGGTGATGCCTGCACCTACTCTCTGGTCCAAACACAAAGAGCTCAGATATTTCATATTTCATTAGACACCTCTATTTTCTTTTCTAATCATCTTTTTTCTATTATAAAAGTAATATGAGCTTTTCCTAGGAAACTTGGACAATACAAGCTAGCAACAATTATTCCTCAGAATCAAGCACTATTAACATATTTTCTTCTATGGAACATTTTTTTTTACCTAATTAAGATTATACCATCCTTTCTTCCCACTTAGCATCATGTCAAAGCTTTCCCCAACAACATTAAATTGACTTTCTAAAAATTAATTTTAATGGTAATACAATCCTTTATTGTATAGATTTCTACAATCTGCTTAATTCCCCCAAATATCAATAGATATTTGATTGGTTCCTGGCTTTTCAAAATTATAAACAACGCCACAGTTTGTATCTCTGTGCATCAGTCTTTGCCTTTGGTTTGGATTATTCCCTTTGGGGAGCAATCCAGAAGTGGGTCAAAGGACAACAACATTTTAATCACCACCATTTTTGTTTTTTTAATAAAGATTTATTTATTTACTTTTAGAGAGAGGAGTGGGAGGAAGAAAGAGGGAGAGAAACATCAATGTGTGAGAGATACATCAACCAGTCACGTCTCACGTGCCCTATACTGGGGACCTGGCCTGCAACCCAGGCACGTGCCCTGACTGGGAATCAAACTGGTGACCTTTTGGTTCACAGTCCGGCACTCAATCCATTGAGCTACACCAGCCAGGGCAAATCACTACCATTTTTTTAAGTTGGACAGAATGAAATCTGCATGAGAAAAAGGAGACCCTATTTTACATCTCTGAACATTATTTTATCTAACTTAAAGAATTTTCTAGGATAAAAAAATGCCAAATATTCCCCCTGACAGCCAGTTTCCATTTTGAAGAGTTAAGTGCATTTCCTATCGCCCCTTTTACTATGTGATGTAGACAACATGTTCTGTGCTGCACATACAATTTCAGTTCTGTGGCTTTTAGAATCTGTTACTCAGCTGACTGCTGTGAGAAGTTCCTGTATCTGAGCAGAGATTTCCTTTCTCTTTTTTTTTTTTAAAGCAAAAGGCAAAATTACAAACTCTTATCATTTATCTTGGTAATAAGACTGGTAATTTTTTCTTCACTATTTTAATAACATTTTTCATAAAGATCATTATGAAAATAAAGACTAAAATCATTTAAAGAATAATATAACCTAAACTACAGAAGTTTCTTCTTCAAGGCAAGAGCAATTTGGTAATTTAAATCAAATTCCCTCAAAATGTTTATTATGATATGTATATAAATCTCAGTGATTAAAAAGTTAAAGTAGTTCACCTTATACTATTGTATGTTAGCATTAATGAGTCTCATTTAAAAATTTATATTAACATAATTTATGTCTATTAATATAGTCTATTGTGCATATTTTAAATTGTTCATTAAATTTGCATAACGAGTGCTCAGCTAAGTTAAAAATCAGAAAGATCAATGTTTACTCTCTAGACAGAAGCTTGACAACACCACTTGCAACAGAAAGACTGTGTTGATTGCAGATAATTCACAAAGAAAATTCAAGGATCTCTAACAAAAAATACTGGTTGGTGGCTCTTGGTTCCTATTACTCAAAAACACTCTACATATGTAACAGCAACATGTCTGATTTACTTCCAAAACAGATCACTCACACTTGGGTTGGGAACCCTCATTTGGTCAGAGAAGGGCTGCCCCTTCAAAGAAATGACACTTGAGTTACCACCTGAATTGATAAAATGAAGCCAGTTAGGAGAAGATCTGGGGGCCCAGGTCATGGTGCATGTGCAGAGGCCTTGCAGAGACATGCATGAGAAACTGGGCATTCCTGGCAAAGAAAAGCCAAGGTGAGCATGGGGGGAGCCTTAGTGGAGATGCTGGGGCCAGACTGCCAGGGCCTTAGTGGACACAGATGCTGAGAGGTCATTCCTGGTGCAATGGAAAGCCACTGGTGGCTTTCAAGGAGAAGAATACCATCTGGCTTAGGTTTTCAAAGATCCCTTTGGCTGCTGTGTGAAGAATGGGTTTTGTGGAGACAAGAGGGAAAGAAAGGGCAGGCTGGACTGTTGCAGTGGTCCCGGCCAGGGATGCCAGTGGCTTGGCGTGCAGTGGGTGGAAACCGAGGTGGAAATCAGGAGGTGGATTTGGGGTCCATTCCTGAGGCAGAGCCAGTAGACCTTGCTGGTGGACTGAGTGTGGGGGTAGGTGCTGTGGAAGTTGGGGACAGGAAAGAAAGGAATTGAGGACTTTCATCAGAGGGACATTAGGAGAAAGGTGGTAGCACTTGGTGAGACTGGGGATAACTTCAGGAGAAAAGGTCTGCAGATGTGAGATGCCTGTGAGACGTCCAAGGGGAGATATCATGGGACAGATAAACATGACTTTGGGCTTCGGCTCATGGCTGAATGCACTCGTCTGGGCCCCACCAGCACCTAGACCAGAGGCTTTCAGCTAAAAGCAAACAAACACATCTAAAATATTACATGTGACCCACACATAGTTATAGCAACCTAGAAGACAGAGATATAAGACAAAACCAGAAGTTTTGTGGAAAAAAGACAACTCTTACTATATGTAATACCTCTTGGTATTTTCCAGTCTACTTTATTTTGGGGGAGAAAAAACCCCACAGGCCATAACCAGCTAATGGCTCATCATCCGTATTCAAACAGTAGGCCTTAACCACAGGTGTCTATTTAAATTTAGATTAATTAAAATAAATATTGCCCTGGATGGTGTGGCTCAGTGGATTGAGCATGGGCCTGCCAACCAAGGCATTGCCAGTTCGATTCCCAGTCAGGGCACATGCCTGGGTTGTAGGCCAGGTCCCCAGAATGGAGTGCAACCACACATTGATGTTTTTCTCCCTCTCTTTCCCCTTCCCTTCTCCTCTCTCTAAAAATAAATAAATAAATATAAATAAATAAATAAAATGTAAAATTTGGTTTCTTAGTCATACTAGTCACATTTCAAGTATTCAATAGCCACATATGCCTACTGGCTACCATAATGGACTCTGCAACAATAGAACATTGAATTGTCTCAGAAAATTCTATTGGATAGAGCAGACCACAATCACAGGACTAGAGGCAAAATGATGGAGGAAAGCACAGAGAGGAAAGGAAGGCTGAAGACCAAGGCCAGAGGCCCTCTAACGAGTGAGATCTCATAGAGGAGTTTGAGCCAGCAAAGGCTGGGGGGAAAAAGGAGAGAGAGAGATGGGGAAAAATCCAAGAGAGTATGCTATTAAGAAGCCAAAGGAA